TTCCACCTCCCTGCTTATTTTTCAACTAAAGACAATAGCCGTTTTATGTGAATTAAAATCATATACATGAATAATTAAGGTATCAACCAGTACCTGTGGACATATGGACATTAAAACAAGTATTATGCTTGTAGCTATCTCACATTTACATGTATTCAGACAAACTGACCTCTTCTAGAGATGAGATGAAAATGGAGATGGGGATTCAGTGACTAAATTTAACATGATAACTCATTGGCACTACGTAGAAGTTCTTAGCCTCAAATCTCATGTTACTTGAGAACCCAATCATCTCTACCAAGCAAGGAGATTCTTCGCTGATAATGCAAGAACAAATTTTATACCAATCAAAAAATCTTAATCCCTAAACTTGATATTTAAACTGTCTTTAACTGCTTAATATGCATATAAAAAATAATTCAATGAACAAGGTTCATAAAAAAAAAAAAAAAAAAAAAAAAAAGGCCTGAAAATTTTGTCCCATCTATATTACATCAAATTCTCTTTTAATGTTCCCAAGTACTGGTAGTTTACTTGAAAGATTGTTTTCTGCCTTCCTCTTCGTATGTTTCTCCAAGTCCCAGATCAAAAGCAACACAGGTACTTTCTATAAATAATAAAGAGAACAATATTGTGCTTAAGTAGAGTACAGTAGTGGTAATTTCAAATAAATATTATTACCTGATTTGTGTATTTGCTTAGCTTTGCACCTGTAACCGTAAAGTGCAAAGTAGTAACATCAAAACAGATAATCCCCAGTAGCCAAAAGCAGCAGGGTCAGCAATTATGTTCTGTGGGACCAAATTACTCATGTCACCTTAGGAATGCAATTTTACATCTGTGTTCATGATACGGTTTATAATGGAAATGCCCTTAAAGAGTAAAACACAGAGAAAGGGTTCCTTTTACTTTGGTTGCGAAGACATTCTAATGGAACATCTACAAAATGAAACATTTCTTGGGGCAGAAAAATCTACAAACATTTCAGAAGCATAAAAACACGGAAAATACTGAAACTATTAAACTGATAAATATTTTTGCTACATATAATCTAATTATGAACATCCTGAGCAAGTGACACGCAAACGTAATGTTAATAAAAATATTAATGAGTTGAAACTAAATAAAAACAAAAAGAGTAAGAATCAGATTTTTTTTTTTCCCTTAAATAGTTTTCAACTTGAGCAGCTTACAAGTAAACTGCAGAAAAACAGTATTCACGCTCAAGTTATTTTTTTTTTTTGAGAAATCAGGTATATCTAGTCTGGATTTTGATAATGGCACAGATCTGGGACTTGTAATCTTACATACCAATGGAAACCCATTGCTTGTGTGCAGTACAGCAAAAGCTTGAGAATTTATCAGTGCACAAACTTCACTTTCTTTTCATTAGATGTAATATTGTGAGTAGTAACAAGTACTTTCTGCTACCAAAGTGGCTAAACTGCATTAATATAATGGAACTTTTTCTTTCTTTCCATGATTCTCTGGGAATTCTTCCAGTATTAAAACTCTTGTTCTGTTATCACAAGTCAGATTTCACAGAAACAATAATTTCACTTTTGGGGTTGTCCATGCCTCAGACACAATGAATACAAGTATTTACATCTTCAATGGCTCCAATGTACTGAGGGGTAGTGGTTAAAATTAACAAAAAAAAAAGAAAGAAATCCACACACATAAAAAAAGAAAAAGAAAAGTAAAAAAAAAGACAGAAAAAAAAGAAAAAAAAAGAACGACTGACTATCTTGAGGCTGTATATCAGTGTTTCACTGGTTCAAATGCAGTTCCTGGATAATACAGCACACTATGGAACTATGAGGTCCTTTGTGGATTTTTGCTGCTCCATCTCCTTGGCCACGGAAATGGACACTCGTAATGCCGAGGAATTACACCCTGGACATTCCGTTCAAATATCCAGAAAAGGCGGTACCACCATAGTCTTTCAAGGAAGTTATTTTGCCCTGATTCCTGTAAAGTAATTCGATTTTTAGTAAGTGGAAATGGCATTACATACAAATCCATATTGAGGATGCATCATGTAACCTGTCTTTCAAAAATATGTGAATACAAAATGTTGTAATCTTATCTTTCCTCATTATTTGAATTTATCTTAATAAAATCATTACAACTACAACATTATTCACACATATATCATTATTAACTACAATATATTAGGCTTTGATTCAGATGAAACAATTTTAGTATCAATACTATTTTGTTTAATATTTCACTACACTCACCTTGAGGCTGGCATTATTTGCCATAGTGTGGTACATATAGAATATACGTGTAGTTATGTAGTAAGCTATAAGACAGTCAACAGTATAGTGTCCTCGGGCTATAAGGACCATCACTACACCAACAATAGCTAGCAGAGCAAAACCCCAGTGTACCAGCCACCATCGATGAGGTGTATCTGCAGAAGATGAAATGGAAAAATTAGATAATCCATTATAATTTCATTCTTTGGTTGCATTCACACAAATTATACACACGTCTCATGCAAAATATTCACACTGGCATTCTAAAATGAAGGGATGTCTTACATTCACGGATAACTAGGTAGGCCAACACTAGGCACACGGTGTGTCCCGAGTAGATATAATCCCCGCAGAAGGTGTGTTGCCCATTGATTGAGAGGCCGAAGCCAGAGAGCAACTGGATTACTCTTTTTGCTACCAGTATTGGGGTAGTATAATTTGCCTTTTTATCACAGTAATAATTGGGGTTGGCTACTGGTAGGACTGTCACATACATAGTAATGGAACGGTAAAAATATAACAATCCCATGATGAGGAAGATGCGTCGAAAGAGGATCCACCTGTGAAATAAGAGGAAAGGACTGTATTAATATTTGGTTATTGCATTCTTTATCTTTATATACAATTATTTGCATTTTGGTGCAAGGAGGGGAGGTGAAGGGGAGAGGGAGGGAAAGGGAGAGGAAAAGGGAAAGAAGTGGAGGAGGTGGAGGAGGTGGAGGAGGTGGAGGAGGTGGAGGAGGAGGAGGAGGAGGAGGAGGAGGAGGAGGAGGAGGAGGCGAAAAAGGAAAAGTAGATGGAAGCGGAGAGAGAAGAGATCGGAAAAAAAAAAAAAAGATAAAAAATTCTTACCTATGCTTATGGAAAAGGACAACCATAGCACACAAATAAACCGAGAAAATGATGATGCATTCCGAGGCATCCAGGCCCCATTCTTTCGTGGTAATGTTGTCCAGCGTCACATCCGGTAGTGGTGGATAATCTGGCACTTTTTCATGCGTGAGTGCCAAGGAAGCCGTTGTGAATATCCAATTGGCACAAAGGAACATAAATGCTGGGGGGAGGGAGAAGGAGAAAGATGTAAATACTCTATTTAATATGATCTTCCTGAAAGCTTAAAAAGGGTTGTGGGTATGTTGCCTTGACAATGAGCTTTCACATGTAATATGCGTATCAGATTATTCCACAAACTTTCCTTCTAAACCTCTTTGTACAACAAGCTAAGACTAAACATATTAACTTTTTAAATTCCTTACAATGATTTCAGGCCATGGGTAAGATTAACTATACAAATAGTAGTTTTCAGCATTTTATAATCAATGATAATATAGAGTAGGGTGGCAAACTACATAAACTCATGGAGACATGTAGATGCAGATGTGGACTCTCACTCACTCACTCACTCACACATACAGATACACACACACACAGACATACAGACACACACACACACACACGCACACACACACACACACACTCTCTCTCTCTCTCTCTGCAAGAAAACAAGGAATCCATAATTACCAAAGAAAGTTTTTGATTTCTCTTTGGGGAACCTTGGCTCGTCTCGGTGTGGTGCTGGGATAGGGATCTTCACCATGCCGTTGCTTCCACTGCTGTCATAGTAGCCTCCACTCCCTCCATCCTTACTGACCCTTTGAAGGTTAGAAAATTATTAGAAATAACTCTTCGTCAAATAACATCACCAAGATAAATACATCCCTAGTTTGTGGTGTTCACATGTAAAGACTCATGAGTCCAATCATCTGACGTGGAATATCTAATATCAAGTTACTTATTCATTGATCATTGTCAATTAATAGAGCATGACCTTTAGCAGCACTTTAAAAACATAATATATGAATATTAAATATCTCATTACAAAAATATTACATTGACTAAATCACAGTAATTTAACCTTACTAGTGAACAGCAAAATAAAATAAATCTGTTAAGCAACAAAACTAGCTATGAGAAAAAGAATCAAGGATGGCAATAATCTCAGAATGCTGGTAACAAGAGAAAGAGCTGTAAGTTTTACTAGCACAATTTCTTTAAAGGCAATAACAAAATGTAACACAACCACCTACAAAATGTATCTCAAAGACCAGGAAGACTGTACAACATCGCCATCTTCAACATGTAATAGGAATCACTGATATACTCACCCATTAGTACTAATGTACTGGTCATGGTTGGTTAGGAGTGGCTGCCGTTGATACACGTCTTGGGTCATTAGGCTGTGATCCGTGTCATCCACTACGCTGCTGGCACTACTACTGGTGCCACTTCTTCTGTTACTACTGCCACTGTGCTGTGACTCACACATTAACCCCCCACTCTCTCCAACAGACCCATATCGGCCCCCTTCACTCCCACCACCTAAGGCCATCCTGGAAAAAGAAAAGGGATCTTTAGCATAGTTTGATACTTTAATTAAACTGAACAGACTTATAGTTCAGGAAATAAAAAGAGAATTATCTCTATAATAGCCTATAACTAGAATATACACTATAATATAACTTACTTTACTGAAAGTAAATACATTACGCTATACAATTTGATACAAATGCCATTCACTGATTTTCCCATAGGTATATGTAACTACCTTTCTCATCACACATTTTAAAATTTACTAAACTGTAATGAATAATGATTAATACCCGTAATTCACATAATATAAATTTATGTCTATCCCTCAATGGCAAGGGTATGGGATATACCCCTAACTTTAAAACCACTGAATAATCTTCATACATTAATCTAAAATGGAAAATCACACCTGTTGGAGTTACCAGCATTTAACAGAGAAGCGGAAGTGATTTAAAAAACACACAAAAGTAACTTATACATATATAAAACATATCACCTTTAACATGTGCAGAAATGTCTACTACATTGACAAATACCCTATTCTTTCCTTTTATAATTGTTGCTTGTGTGGGTGTAACTAAAAGTATAAAGACCACCTAATGCTTTCCCTTTGGCAGCTGCTGTAGGCACACCCTGGCTTAGTAATTATAGATCTTGTATTGCCTTCCTGTTTTTCTTGCTCAGTCCCATGTTTTTCCTGTTCTTTGTGACAACCATGCACTAATGTTTGGCAAGGATGCACACAGTGGAAGTGAGACTACATTACTCATTCATCATGGATGATAGATTATACATACAGGCCTATTTTTCTTTACATATTTAACCCAAAGTAAATCTTTGTTTTTGTTACCCTTTTTACCGAATCTGGTACATACTTCTGAGAAAAATAGAAATGATTAAATCCCATTACACCAAACTAGGTACTAACCTCTGCACATACCTCATTTTCACCTTGACTTTGAACATAGACATAAAAATAATAAAATACATAAAAAAACAGCTTACATTATATTCCAATACAGACTTCAATACAAACCTCCTCCCCCCAAAAACAATTCCAGTAGATACAAGAAAGACAACTTCAATTAACCCCTAGTGCAAAATATCTTTAAGCAAACCTATAACCACATACAAACAACATCACTACAGTCTAACATGACCAAGGATATTGTGTAATGTGTCCCTCTGTGTAACCCAAGGCCAGGCTTTATGTACCGAGTCCTTCTCTCTATGTCCCTTTTTAACATCACCTGAATAACTTCTAAATCTATCTTGTTCTGAAGTCATTTACCCCCTAAAATTCTACAATCCTATGTAATGGTTCTACCACATATCAGCACTAAAACCAGCTTTATCTGAACATCAAATTTAGAATGAAAAACAAAACATTTTTTTTTCCTCTACATTACATTGCGCTTTTCCTTTCCCTATCAATCGCTACCTCTCCGAAAATGCCGTACATCAAAATCCCCTTTTCCAGCAAAATCCACCTTCTCCAACGTCCTTCTACATCAATATCCACTTCTCCGGCGTCCTTCTACAATAAAAATCCACTTCTCCGGCGTCCTTCTCCTGCAAAATCGAGGGAGATCAGGCCGGACGAGGAAATAGGAACGGCCGAGAGACAGCGGAAGTTCTCAACCCTCGTCTCGCCTTCGCTCAACCGCAAACGTTTAATAAATCCTTTTCCGGGTTTTATCCTCTCTTGTCTGATCTTATTCTTGTTTAGTGATTTGTTTGTCTTTTCTTTTCTTTTCTTGGTCGTTAGGCTGTTGAATACCGTCTGGAGCAAGTGGTAAGTTTGTTTGTTTGTTTGGGTTTATTTTTGTGTGAGGAAACTGCGATTCAAATTGTAGGCCTGTACATTTTTTTCATATTTTTTTAGAGTCAAATTTTGCTAAGCTTTGATGTTTACTTGTGTTTTTTTAGTAGCTTTTGTTCCTTGACGTACGAGTTTGTTATTCATGAATACAGAAGTACCACACATAATAGTATAATTTTGATATTCTAATAAATAATAATAAAATAAATAAGTCACAAAACTAATTCAAATATATATTCAAGTTAAGACCGTGCAACCTCGTAGACAAACGTAGTGTCTATGAACATATGAACTGTCATCACAGGAAAGAAAAAAAAGAAAAAAAATATATATACCGTAGTCGAGCCAACAACTGAATCACTGAATTGAGTCGAATCAACAAAACAACTTATTCCAAAAAATAAATATTTGCCTATCAATACAAATTGTCTATACGGAAGAAATACAAATATGTGCACATGTCAAAAAAAAATTAAATAAATAATCGGAAGAGGGAGGAGGAGGAGGAGGAGGAGGAGGAGGAGGAGGAGGAGGAGGAGGAGGAGGAGAAGAAGAAGAAGAAGAAGAAGAAGAAGAAGAAGAAGAAGAGAAGAAGAAGAAGAAGAAGAAGAGAAGAAGAAGAAGAAGAAGAAGAAGAGAAGAAGAAGAAGAAGAAGAAGAAGAGAAGAAGAAGAAGAGAAGAAGAAGAAGAAGAGAAGAAGAAGAAGAGAAGAAGAAGAAGAGAAGAAGAAGAAGAGAAGAAGAAGAAGAGAAGAAGAAGAAGAAGAGAAGAAGAAGAAGAGAAGAAGAAGAAGAAGAGAAGAAGAAGAAGAAGAGAAGAAGAAGAAGAGAAGAAGAAGAAGAAGAGAAGAAGAAGAAGAAGAAGAAGAAGAAGAAGAAGAAGAGAAGAAGAAGAAGAAGAAGAGAAGAAGAAGAAGAGAAGAAGAAGAAGAAGAAGAGAAGAAGAAGAAGAGAAGAAGAAGAAGAGAAGAAGAAGAAGAGAAGAAGAAGAAGAAGAGAAGAAGAAGAAGAAGAAGAAGAGAAGAAGAAGAAGAAGAGAAGAAGAAAAGAAGAAGAAGAAGAAGAAGAAGAAGAAGAAGAAGAAGGAGAAGAAGAAAGGAAAAAAAAACAAAGAGAAAGAAAAGAAGAACGAACAAAACAATGAAAGAATATATAAATACTACTACTAGTACTACTACGAATACGAAAGAGAAGAAAAAGGAAGAAAAAAAAAGAAGAAAAACAACGAGAAAGAAAGGACGAACGAAACGAAAGAAAATTTATGGAAAGAGCGAAATAGAGGACGATGAGAGAGAGCATTCCCACAAATTGACACATTAACTCCTTCCTTCCCTACTCGCCCCCAAAGGACACTTGCAAAAGGCTTGGGCGCGGCGCGGTATGATAATTTTAGCTTCGGTGCAATTCCTAAAAACTGCCAGTGTGTCTAACGGATCTCCGCTTCTTGCAGTGTCGTTGCAATTACATTCAAGTAGATAGTGTATAACACAAATTCGAGAGGAAAAGAAAGGGATGATAGTCGGAATTTATAATTTATGATAACTCGTTAGGGATATGTTAATAGAATCACGCAGCATGTCACACGCACGCACACACAGAATAGCCTTTAGTGGCGTTCATAAATAAACAATTAGGTGAATACGTAAATTAGTATGTAAATGCATATATAAGTGTGTGTGTGTGTGTGTGTGTGTGTGTGTGTGTGTGTGTGTGTGTGTGTGTGTGTGTGTGTGTGTGTGTGTGTGTGTGTGTGTGTGTGTGTGTGTGTGCGTGTGTGTGTGTGTGTGTGTGTGCACGCGTGTGTGTGGGCGCGCGCGTGTGTGTGTGTATGTGTCCGTTTGTATGTCCGTGCGTGCGTGTGGGTGTGTGTGCGTGCGCGCGCTCGCGTGCGTACGTGTGCATATGCGCGTCTGCACCTGTTTCTAATTAACGTGTAATTTCCGTAGTCAAATCCTTCTCCGGCGCAAGACATGCTGCCTTCGACGTTCCGAGGCGCGGGAACGAACCGGCCTGCGTGCGTGACGTGTTTCATTACCAACCGTAGCAGGTGGCTCAGGCGGAGCCGGGGGTGAAGGGGGAGGGGGTAGGGGGTTGGGAGTAGGAGGAGATATTTTCCAGTCAAGTTCTAGCTACTTTATCAGCGGCGTTACATCCTGTTAATTTGGTTAAATCTGGATGCATCTGCTGCTCCTACGCCAAAGCACCACGTGTTCTCGTCTACGTGTGCCCCCGCCCGTTGACTTGTGGCTGGCGACTAATTCCACTCGAACGTGCGCCTCCAAGGTCGTCAAGGCGCTACATGTGTCGCTGAAGGACAGCCGTATGTAGGGCTTCACCTGACTGAACTTTAAAAACGGACCCGTATGGATTGTAATGAAATTTCCAAGGTCACGCCCGCACCGTAACAATACGTGCTATACTTGTATCTCGATGATCCTCTTGTGGTCTTCTTGTACGTGTGCCGAATATGCCAGGTTACGGAGGCATGTTTTATTGCTGCCTTTGCAAAGCATCTCTGTAATTCCTGGCTTTTCATACAATAATATAAATAACTTGCATTATTTTTATGGAGATGATGCTGTGTCCATTACAGAGCTACGTAGCTTCTTTGTGATACTGAAAAAAAAAAATGGAGCGGATCTTTGGTGAAAGAACGGTCGCAAGGAATAAAACCAGGAAGACGTCGGGCACTGCCTGGGTGCAAAATACCAGGCAGATGCTGGTAGTCAGGCAGGTTAGACAACCAGACTATCTGCAGTCAGAGTGCCTGCCCCCATCTCCACCCCTGCCCCTGCCCCTGCCCCCGCCCCCATCCCTGCCCCCGCCCCCACCCCATTTGGCGGCCTGCAAACCAAAATGACCGGAGTCGCGGAGGTTAAAAATATTAGTCAATAATTCGGAACTTTAAATGCAGTGCACACGTGCCCTCATCCCTTCCCCCCCCTTTTTAACCTAGCCTCTCGACGTCGCAACAAAAGGACACAGGAGTATCACATCCCCCCTGCCCCCCTCTCCCACTGTGTCCATCTCCCCTCACAGTCACCAAGTCATCAGATAGCTTTCACGGGGAATGGCAGCGTTGGGGTCATCCAACTTGACATTTGAGGGAGGTACAGATAACGACTCTTTTTCATTCATTCGGAAAAGTGAGAGAAGGAAATCATATAAGAGAGATTTTGTATGTGTGGTGTTCCCGTTGGAAATTCATTTTTAAA